CGAGGGCTCCAAAGTAATGGATGCTCATTTATATGTACAAGTCTCCCTCTCCAGCTTTTTAATGCAAAGAAGCTGCGTAATTTCTTCCTGAATCACTGATATCAGAGTTTTAAAGCACTTAAACGCACCACGTAAAAAAAAAAAAAAAGATTTTTAAAGCAGACGGCTTTTTAAACACACAAGGCGGTGACATTATGAATGTAATATCTCTGCAGCTTGAACACGGTAGATTCGGTGCTTACATGAAGTGAAGCCGCTGGCTGTTTGAAAGATGGAAAAAAAAAAAAGCACCAACCGAGATATAATTATATTTCACTGCCAGGTAGAGAAACAGGTACGGCCCTTTGTTCGGCTGCACGGTTTTGTTTGCCGTCGAAAAGAAGGTCATTCGGATCTTTGGAGGATCTTTTTTTTTTGGCATTCTGGGTTTTAATAGATAATTACAGCCGCACATGATGATATTCAGGCTTCTCAGTCCTGCAAAGCACAAAACTCTAAAAGAAACACTTGTACGCTGCTCATTTTTTATCAGATGAAGCTAAAAAAACACCACATATCTTTTGTCATCGTGGTTTCTCCCCATCACAGCCTTACAGCCTCTTATGCAGCTTTTAGCCCCCGAATGCGGTTTAAGAAGGAGCGCAGTGACCTAAGAAAAGACACTCGCAGCCCAAAATGTTACCTCTTAAGAGAAATGACAGCCACGTCACCGGCACAGACAGGCTTAGCGGCGGGATTATACATCACACATTAGACAGAAAAGTCCTGCAGCCGAAATATCACATCTTTGATCCCCATGGCAACCAACATGTCCATCAAGGGTCCTTGTGCAGGAGACTGAAGCTATTTTGGAGCCACTTTTGACTTGAGCGCTCCAGAATGAAAGTTTAGCTTGAAAACACTCCACATATATTGCTTTTTTTGCTTGCTTCTGATCCTCCCACTAAGTGTATGGAGGTGATATTACAGAGCTGCAGATGACATGATGAGCATTGATGGATGAAATTAAGCTGAAATGAATCGCAGGAGGCATCTGCTGTAAATACGCACATCTGGTCGGATGATCAGAAGCGAGTCTTCATCAAAGGCCGGAGGGAGTTAAGATGATGCTCTGCTTTGTTATTATCCCTTTTTTTTTTTTCCCTGTCTCCGATAAGCTCTTTATTCTTTGAAAGGTGAACGCTTGCCAGCAGGAAAAAGTTGTTAGGATGGCGTTCGAGATCAAAACGTGTCAAGAAGGACATTATATATTCTCTCAGTTTTTGTTGTTCAGAAGTACAAAGAAGATCAGTCTTATCTACCTGGTTTTATTATTATTATTATTTCAAAAGTCTCTTTCTTTGCGGCACCTCGTCGTATTTGTTTCGGCGAAGTTTTCTCGCGGGCAGTAATGTGACGGCTTGTTTTGAATCGGTTTTTCTTAAATGTCACACGTTGTCACGCTTGATCCGTCTAATGGCGGAACAACGCATTCGCTGTCGTTCGCTGAGGTGAAAGCACCTCATTTATAGAAAGTTATTGCTGTACCTGCCTGTTCTGTTTCACTTTGTTCTCCTCTATTGTTAATATTTCATACATGTTTGTATCCGTCTAGATTTATCTTATACATCTCCTGCGCCACAGTTCTTATTTTAATGTAGCGTCTTGCCATAAAAGCTCCAGTCGGCTGGTTTATTTCGACATAATGCTTGCGGTCAATTCTTAAAACTACCCTGACCCCAAATACAGGATTATAAAAACAATGTGTGCACTACAGTAACGTTAAGTGTAGTTGCTGTAATTTTATTTATAGAACTTGGTCACAAAAGCAAGAGCAGCAAAACTAGATCCACATTAACGGTTAGAATTATGGATCCTAACAGTGGTTTTGACACTAAAGAGGTCAGTAATGTGTGTTTCTATGCATCTGATTGAACACAGCTTTGTAATTATGAGCCTGCAGGGTGTCAGAGAGACCAGGAACAGATGAGGCTTAGAAGACATAAACGCCATCAGAGAGAAATTAATTTGTGGTGCGATTAAAGCCGGCGGAGAGCAGGACAGGTGTCGTGCTGAGTGACTGACGTCGTGTTGCATCTTAGCAAAGATTAAGAGTTATTAATACACTGTAATAAGTGGCTGTAGAAGTGCAGCTAAATGAGAATGACTATGAATAGTGAGATATTGTAAAGTGACGGTAAGAACTGAACAAAAGGTTTGAATCAAACGAGACACAAAACAGAGAAAATGACACAAACAACATAAAAGAAAAATGAGACACAGCATGACAGAGAAGAGACACAAATAAAACATCTCAAACAATTCACAAAATTAGAATATAACATAAAAAGTATAACGTAAAGCAATACAAAGGAGACACAAGACGACAAAAAGGAGGCACAAAATCACATAAACGAGACACAAAACTGCAAAAATGAGACACAAAATGACAAAAGGAGACAAAACTGTCACAAAACACGCCAACAAAATGTCATAAATAAGATACAAAAGAAAAAATAAGACATAAAACAACACAAATTAGACACAAAATTACATAAACAAGACACAAAACTGCACAAATGAGAACCAACGTGACAAAAATGAGACACAAAGTGACCAAAGGAAGAGACAAAACTGTCACAAACAAGACACAAAAGACGAATGAGACATAAAACAGCACAAAGGAGACACATCATGGCAAAAATTAGACACAAAGGGACAAAAACAAGACACGAAATGACACAAAGAAGACAAAGTGAGACACAAAACAACAGAAACGAGACAAAACTGTCGCAAAGAGACACAAATGAAATCCCACAAACATACAAGAAAAGAAAAATTAGACACAAGTGAGACACTGAAGGACAAAAATGAGACACAAAACTGCACAAATGAGAGCCAACATGACAAAAATGGGACACAAATTGACAGAAAGGAGACAAAACTGCCACAAAGAGACACAAACAAACATGCAAGAAAGAAAAATGAGACACTAATCAAAACAAAAAGTGCACAAAATGACAAACAAGACAGAAAAACGAGACGTAAGACAACATAAATTGGATATAAAATGACACACAAACAAGACACAAACCTGCAGTCACAGCCAGTAACAGTGTGTTATTGGAGTCTAGTCTCAGTATGTAGTAACAACCACAGCTGCTGCCGGTGTTTTAGTGTAATTTTCCAGGAATACTTGTCACCGTGTACTTGTCCGTGATAGAAGCTAATGCAGGAGGATCAGCTGGTGTCAGTCTGATCTCAGGAGTCTAACACGGACCGACACTACATTTCACAGGCCACATGGGAAAAAGAAAGACAGCGAGAGAGAGAGAGAGCGGACCAAATTAGAAGTTAGCAAACACCACCGAAGCTCACGGTTTGGCTCCTGGTCGAGCTGAATCTCGGACTGATCTGTGACCGTTCTGTCCCGCTGATGGTGGAACTGGAGACGCTGCAACACCGAATGAAACCACAACAGCTGTTAGTCTCACACATCCGGGCTTAGAGCGTCCCGTCGTATCTCTGGAAACATAATCCTCCGGTCTGGAAGAAGCGCAGCCACGTTATTAGTTACAGACGCGGGAAGGAAGTCGAGTGTTTTCACCTGACGTGGCCCACAAAGGCTCGGCTGTGTTCGGACACCTGTGGACTGGATCAGGAAATATACTACCTACCACAGCTCGCATTAATTTACTAAAACTACATTTACATATTTTTACATACAACTGCACCTTTTTGCACTACTTTTTCAGATATGTTCAGCAATGTGCAACATCCAGAAGTGTTTTTATTGTTACTCATTTTCCAAATAAGTCATATTCAAAATAATAAGCTCCCACTGTTTTCATAGATCCACTCGTCTTTCTACTAGGTTTTTACATTTTATACTTGCACACCACCTACTGCACTTGATTTTGCGCCCTCACCTGGTTGAGCTAACGGTCCTCAATGCAGAGATCGAGGGTTCGAATCCCACTCACGGCACTTTTCCACAGGTCCTTCCCCCATTCTATTTATTTTATTTTATTTATTGTTTATTTGATGTGGACGTCACAATTACATCGGACAAACCAGATGCATTGTTTGAGTGTTTTAGCACGTGTGCTAATTCGCAACACTTGTCCACAGGAGGCTTTTGAAATGATAAAAAGTAATAAGAACAAAAAAAAAAAAAAAAAAAAAAAAAAATAAATAAAAAAAAAAAAAAAAAAAAAAAGATAAACAAATAAATATAAAAAAAAAACAAAACAAAAAATACAGTGTACAATAACATTACAACAGTAAAAGAGGCAGTTTTACAGGTTAAATACATAAATAAGCTTCAGGGCAAAGGCAACATGTTCAAGCAATCAACCAGTTGAAACTATTCATTGTGTCTCTACACTAACTGCACTATTAAATAAAGACAAAAAGGCCCAAAAAAATAGCAAAAAATGTCTGATTTTGTGACACACAGGCAGAACTGCTGCTTAATTTCACCGTGCAATGGCAATAAACTAATTCTATTCTGTACAATGAAAAAATGGGAAAGTTATCTGCAAAAAAACCCCAAAACATCAGAATCACTTTTTATTTATGTCTCATAAAACATAGAAAATTGTGAATTAGCTTTCCAAGAAATTATTACATTTGGCAAAGAAAAACTCAACCTTCAAGTTGTTTTTCTGAGAAATTCTTTGCATTGGCAACGACTACACCTGAAAGTATGTCTGCAGAGGTTCATTTTGTGCATTAGTTTGTTTCCTATTATTGTGATTTTGATGGTTTTCTTTGCTCGGAGATGAACTGAAACCAGACATTTACTCACAAGTTATTAAGACTTACCTTGAATGTCCTTCTGCACTTCTAAGTTGTTTGTAGTATCCACAAGTGGAAGCATTTTTCCTCTTCTTCTTCTCGCTCCAAGTAAAAATGTGTTTGGATGTTTGCTATGTGTTTTTTTTTTTTTTTTCCATTACCGAGCACAAGCATGCATGTGGATTCTTGTTTAGCTGACGCTGTGGTTGTTCCCTCCGCAGGCGAAGACGACCGTCTGGCTCTCAAGGGCAAGGTGACGGTTGGAGACCTCTTTAGAAAAGACTTCAAGGTTCATGACCCCAACGCCAAATGGATCAGCAGTAAGTGTTGCAACATACGACTGCACAGACAAAACAATATCCACGCTGCCGTTTGAAAAACGGTCACCAGCTGAGTTTCTGGACTTTTTTTAAAGCAGCACTATTGTGACTACTTTTTAATAGTAGAGGTGTTGCTGCAATGCTGCAAATCCCTCGTCTGGGCTTTGAGCTTGTTGTGTTTAGATACCAGTAGGTCTCACTGGCTTACAAAAAAAACGATGTACTGCCACGTCGTTCTCGTCATGCTTCGACCTTGATGAAGCAATAAAGGTGTTAAACAGCTACGTTCACCGTCCACAGTGTAAATATGTTTACAGTTCGTAGCCTTTATAACTGAAACTGTTGCAGCTCGTGCCGTTAGCTCGAGACTAATTGCAGCCGTAAAGTGCAAAAACCAGAGCGACCTGTGAATATTGGATGCGCCTTAAAAGCCGCCTCTCAGATCAGCCTCCTGTTTTGTTACTCTGACGTTGCAGGATTAGCAAAGCAGGGAGAGAAAAGACTAGTTTAGTTACGTAACTGAGTATAAATCGGTCTGACATTCAGTTTAAACAACATATGTGTCCATTTTTGTTATTTGCTATTTAATAGGACTGTACAGTTAAGATATCTGGAAAGCTCAAGTTCAAGTTAAACTACTTGCTCTGAGCAGAATATGAGAGCAGCTCAAATGACACCACTTTGATCGTTTCTTGGCTTTTTTACACCGTTAATGTCTGTTTAATGCTGTAGAATGTACCTGTGTCCTCTTTTAACCCTTCAGAGTAACGTTTTTACTCACCATGGGTTCATGTTTCACTGCAATATAAAGTCCTGTATCTCTATGGAAACAGCACAACCACTAGAAGTAGAGAGAATTTAAAAGGTGTCTTCTGTCCAGTGTGACGCTGTTGAAATGTCATTATGGGGGTGTTAGTGTTTGTGAATAGGTCGAGTCAGGTCAGGTCATGTGTAAAAGACAGCCAACAGTGAGGCCGGCTTGACTTGTAACTGGTGGTTTGTCTGCATTTCCAGCACTTGTAGCCAAATACTTAGACTTTTTATCTATTAATATCTTTGTACATATTTACAGATCTTTGTATGTGTTGACAAATCTTTTTACACATCGACGAATCTTTTACGAATCTTTTTGCGCATTCACAAATCTCACCACAGACACAGTTTGAGTTACAGACACACAACTCTCCATGCATGATTACATTTTCAAATAGTTTTGCTATAGTGATACCCTCATATGGCATAAATTATGCATGTATATGTTTTTCTGAAATCATTATTTACTATTGTTTATTTTAAAAAAACAAACTGAAAAACCTGGAATCAGCATTTGGAACATTTTTCAAAGTGCACTAAAGTGTTACTAAAACTGGAGAAATAACTGGTTTGCTTCCTTTTTTTTTTTACTGCTTACATCTTGAATTTGTTCCCTCACTGCTCTGCATCAACACTGCCTGCAGTTCACCTGAGAAGTCCCTGATTTTGTGAACTGACTGTTGGTCGCAGCTGAGCCAGCAATGGTTTCTCAGGAGTACAGAATTTAGTTTTTCATTTCTTTTATAGAATGTGGTTCCCGGAAACCCTTTTTGTTTAGGTGAAATTGTAAATTTGACAAAGAATTCAAATGATTTTAAAGCTTGGATTTTTATTTAAGCGTCACGGCGGCACTACACATCACATATGATTAGTTCACAAAGTAGACAGTAGGTAGTTTTTAAAGTTTCTGGCTCTGATAAATGGTGCCATTTTGACATTCTAAATAAAAAAGAAAAGAAAGACAACATGCATTTCACACCTCCTGGTGGTTTTAGTGGTTCAGAGGGTTAATGTAATTATATTTTTTTTAAAAAAGCCTATTCCATGCATATTAATCCATTCATATTATCATTCTCTCCTCTTTTTGCCTGACACCAGGAGAGTGCACTTACACAAAGGTTTCATTGTGATCAAAAGGCTGCATTCAGAGCAGAGGGTTGTCAGCGCAGGGCGGGTCACGTCTGTCAAAAGAAATCCATTATGGGCCGACTCTTACATCCATACTGTGTGTTTTCTTATTGAACCGTTTGCATGTAAAAATATTGATGTTTTGTTGACGCACACGTGCATCTGCAAGTAGAAATCTTAATTTAGCCCCTGATCCGGCCTGTATTGTTAGATTATGGGCTTGAAATAACAGATGTGCTGAACTACACAGCTGATCTGATCCAGAAACTTTTTAAAAAATACTTAAGAGAGCTGCACAAAGACCAACATAAACGATAAAGTGCATCTCCGATTCATCTTTAGAACAAGCCACGGAACGGTTTTTAGCTTTGAAAGGCGTTCAATACGCTAAAATTAGTAATAATGTTTTACCTGTTAAGGCTATTGATGTACGACTTCGGTTATTAGACGAGAAATAATACGACTAATGATATGTTCCTGCTTTTATCTTCATAACAAACGGCGGAGGATAACGGTGTGAATGTATCACAGCGCTGTTTAAACTGCAAACGTCTGATTTACTAAGATGATGTTCGTTTTGTGTGCAGCAGATGTATATGTGTGTGTGTGTGTGTGTGTGTGTGTGTGTCCTTGCTGTCTGACATTCCTCCAAACAATTCATTCCATATGCTTCAATAGCTACCCAATTACCTGCAACCACAACCCTCATTTTTCTTTGATCAGTGACAGTGTGCGGATGTCGCCTTTGTTTCAATTCATCATCGCCAATTTCAAACGCTTGTTGAGTGAGCGTGTGTGCTGTTTTATTTTATTATTATTTTAATCGTGACAGCATAAACACTGACAGCGCCGGAGGGAACCAATGAGAGGAAATTATACACTTTATTTGGCGTCAAGGTAAAGCGGCGACCCGATGCGGCCTCGGCACGACTCGGGCGTTGAAGAGAGGACGAGGTGTCCGAGGATTAATGAGCTGGATTTTTGTCTTCTTCTCGCGTCCGGCTGAAGCTGTCTCCTCCAATCACAACACCTAAGATGGCTCCCTTAAAAGGGCCCAGCTGTTGGAATCCTGAAAAGCCTTCCCTCTCTGTGATTGGCTGTAATTACAAAGCTGAAAACCAATGTTTATTATATTAGCAACAGGAAGATGTTCTCACATGAAGCCTCTCTTCTAGCTTACGGTTCCCCATATGTGCTTAAAGATGCCTCGTCTCTCGTGTGGCCGATTTGTTACTCGCTGCGACCCAGAGGTTGTAAACAAATCTATCACGCTCGAACGCACCCCGATGAACGTCTCAAACTGCTGCGGCGGCACTGTACACATCTGGAAGCCAACATCTGCTCTTCGAAGCCGCGATCAGAAGTAGAAACCGAGAGGGGTCGGATTGCGTAACGCCATTACGACGAGCGAAGGAATAAATGGGCTTATTCTGCACTCGATGGTGTTCCATTAACCAAAGAGAGTTGATTTAACAAGCAGAGAGAAACGGTAATGCGGCAGGAAAGAATCCATACGCGACGGCAGCAATCGCCAAGAAACAAGAACCCGTCTTCTGAAAAGCGATCCGCTCTCTCATCTCCTGGCTTTTGTGCCGCTGACAGTACCATCCTTGATCTGGATGTATTTTTAGTGTATCATTAGATACAGCTCGCAGAGAGGCGAGAGAAAGAGGTAGCGAGAGCGAGAGAGATCCGTCAGATGATTATTTTGTCTCCGTCCGTGTGTCATTTTTACTAGACCTCGGTGCTCGGCCAAACTCTCGTGCTTTCAGGGCTATCTCTAGGATTTGTTATAATGGCTCCACTGGTTGGAAGCTGACATTGAATTTTTTATAACCTAATTTAGCTCAGTTTTATGTTTTCCCTATCCCAGGCTGTCTCCATCTATCAATCAATTCCCCCCGGGATAGACTGAATATAACCTTGAGAATCCCTAATGATCGTATATTAGGCTGTTTTTACGAGGCGGAATTGCTTCCTCATGTCTTGTCCAATAGTGTTAGCTCAAATATATACTGTACTTAAGCGTCATTAGGCGCTCTTATCTGCTTCTCGCGAAAGGTGGCAGAGATTGCGATCCCAGCTTGTGCAGCCGATGGATCATCATTTTGAAGCTTTATTTAAGTTGGGTCTTATCTGTCACTCCTGTCAGCGAGCTCGCCGGGTTAATTGCTGGGATCTGGGTTTGGAGAAAGTTTTTAGAAGAGAAATCAGACACAGCAGAGACAGTAAAACAGGTTTGAAACAACTGAAAACAGCTGTTAATTAATAGACACAAGGATGTGCGATGGTGTGAGCGCTGTGGTGAACTGTACAGGTGTTGTGCTGCAGGAATCAACAGGTAAATAAATAGTAAAAGCATGTTTTTCCAAAGAAGGCTGCCTGCAATGTACATTTGAAGCTTTCGGTTTGCCAGTGCAGGGCTTTGCTAGATGAAGCATTTCACTAAAAGTTGACTTCGGTTCACTGTTTTTTTTTTTTTCTCTGGGCAACCCATTTTTTGTTTGTTTGTTTGTTTTGCCAGAGCGCTCTTTGTTGTCATCTCTACTGTGCTAACTCAGTGGGTGTGCCATAGCGCTGTTACTTGTCAGAACGCTGCGTTAACAAAGGCCGACAACAGAATGATCTGAAATGTCTGCGGTAAACAACGGCCCGGCTTATATCTTAGACCTGCTGTTTAAAAATTGATATAATTCTGCCTAAACTGACGGATCTCTTGGACTTTTCTTGCAGCGGTTTTATGAGTTCCCTCATTGTCAGTAGTGCAAAATGTGCAAAACTGTAAAAGTAAGGCCTACTTATCCGTGAGTTCTTTAGATGCAAACCGGAGCGCCTGAGTGGGACTTCTTCGGTTGCACATGCCGTCAAAAGTCTGTAAGGTGCAACTGAACGTGTTGATTGATTGTATAGCATGGTCGATAGCATCACATGGTTTCACTCAGCTAGTCAGTTATTTGCAACATGTGTGCTGCAGTAACTGAGCGGTGACTGGACGTTTCTCATTGCACGATCACCTAGTAGCATCTGCTGATGATAGTCTTGCATCTCCACAAGCTGTG